TAGCGGAAGAGCCGATCCGGGCTGCCCAAAGTGACGACCTCAGAGGAGACGTCGCGGACCTCACCTCCAAGCTCGGGGGCCTGTATGTTGACATCCGGATCGGTCGGGTCAAAACCAAACGGGTCGGCCCCATGAGTTATATGGGACCGAACTTCTGGAAAGCGCCGGGCCGATCAGGGACGCAGGAGCCGACCTGAGCCAAGGAATTATATACAGTACGAGTCGAAGGGAACATTTCCCGAGCCCGGCACCCGGACATGTTGGGAGCCGAGCCGGTCTCCTCTCGGTACCGAACTGAAGAAAGGCTCACCCAGGTCACGCGGACCTTTATAGCGAAGGTGCCGATCTGAGTAAGCTAGAGCCGCCCTGCCAAAGGATAGCGCCGGTCTGGTCGCCACTAAAATATTCGCCACTTGGGAGGTCATCATTCGTTGATGGGACGGCCCATCGCAGTCATTCAATCAGCATTAAATGCTACCCATGCTTGCATTTAATGCCTAGCAAGCAATGATTGGGAAAACCTCAAATCGCATTAATGAACTGTGAGGAAAGCGACGAACTGCTCTGCAAGTCTACTGTACGACAAGACCGGTGAACAGTACCCCATTTAAGAGTACTATAAATAGCAGCCCACCTCATTTATTTTGGGGTTGTTGAATCCTCAACTAACTTAAGCTTTCCTCTACTTTCTCTCTCTAAGTTGTAAGAAACCCCCTTTAAGGAATTGTAAGTATATCTTAAGTGCCGACCTCGTACGAGAGGCCGACCTTGTGATCATTAAATAAAATCGTAATTAAACTATATCTTTCCTTTATTTCAGTCCTGTACTTTCCATACTTTCAATCTCAACCGTTGACCGAAAACGCTCGTCAACAAGTTGATTTAATGTAAAAGTATGAGAAAAATTATGTGAATTGACAGTCAGTTCAATTTATTTGAGTTGATAAATAATAAATTAAAAATAATATAATGTGTATTAATGATTGATTGATATTATTTAATAATATTTATAATTTTTAGAATAATATGGTTTGACTTAAATTTTAGTAATTGTGTAAATTTTTTAATAAACAAAATGACCCTCTTACCTCAACTGCAGTTTATGTACTCCACATTCCAACCTCCATTATCCTTCAAAATTTTCTGTTAGATCTATTCTTTCCATTTTGCCGATCATCATTTTGGCAGTGTGATAGTTGTTCTAAACTTAGGAACTTGAATCAATTGTTGTGTTTATTCAGTTGAAAAACTTGGGCAATGGCGATTCTGTACAGTTTGGTGGCTCGTGGGACGACGGTGCTGGCGGAGTTCAGCGCCGTCACGGGGAACACCGGCGCGGTGGTCCGCCGGATACTAGAGAAGCTCCAAGAGACTGAACCGGCCGAGTCGAGGCTGTGCTTCTCACAGGATCGGTACATCTTTCACATCCTCCGCTCCGATGGGCTTACTTTCCTCTGTATGGCCAACGATACCTTTGGAAGTATGCGTATATTCCGAAAAAGAACAGTGCTTTTCCACATAGAATTTCGTTTAATGTTTTCAATTTTGGGGTTTAGGGTTTGCTGTGTTGTTGTGTGTCCTATATTGTGGGTTTAGGTCACTATGTCAATGCTTTTTTAATTTGTTTCTTTATGTTGTGCTTATGTGTAGGTATTTTAGTTTTACTTGTGAGGCAAATTGATTACTTGATGACTCGAAGCATAATAAACCCTCTTCCGTTTCGATTTTTATTATGTTTTTGTGATTGATAGAAATATGGTTCTGTTGACTTTAGGTTTAGAGTAACCTGCATGTCTGATTTCTTGAGCTCATACTAATATAATCGTGAATAGAGCTTCTAGTTCAGCTCTTGCTTTTTGGTTGTGTGGCGACTGTAGATTGAACTTTGTGAGTGGTAAAATGTGTGTCTAAATGTACTTTTCTCACTAGTGATCCTCATCAATGGTTATGCCTGGTCTCCGTCAGCGAGAATGTATGTTAGTTTAAATGAGGTATTTTTTGAATGCTTTTTTTAGTGTATTTATATATAATTTTGGCATTACTCGACTTTTTCATTGTTTTATGTGCTTAATGCATATGTATGAACGTGTACAATGATCTTCATGATCTACAATGTTTCATAATTTTGTGCTTTCATCCAGGACGAATCCCATTTTCGTACCTGGAGGATATTCAAATGAGATTTATGAAGAATTATGGGAGAGTGGCTCATGTTGCACCTGCTTATGCTATGAATGATGAATTCTCGAGAGTGTTGCATCAGCAAATGGAGTTTTTTTCCAGTAATCCCAGTGCTGATACACTCAACCGTGTCAGAGGAGAAGTTAGTGAGGTAATTTTTTATATGACTCTCTCTTTTCTGTCTTAAGATTTGAGAATAAACGGATGACAGAGATTCTGATATGTGTTTTCTATTATTCAAGTTCTTTTGCTCACGTGGACAGAATATTTCAGTAAATGATCTTACATAACTCATGTGACTAATAAGGATACTGGTTCTTTTCATTAGTAGAGTTGAATTACATATCAGTTTGCCTTGTAGTTGTAGACTGTAGGTTATGATATATTTCTCTTGTACAGACATCCTGGAAGTTTAAAATGATAACAGTATTTATTTATTTATTTATTTATTTTTGCTAGATCTGTCTGCTTTTATCAGATGAGGGTTTGAAGTGTTTTACTTAGATAAGGTGGGATCCCTTTCGGCTCGATGAACTTGCAAGAATCCCTTCAGGGTATATGTTAGAGTGTACTTTTGTGTCTTGTGCACTGATGTCCTTTTCCGCTAGATCAAATTGGATATCTTATAAGATAATGAGGCAATAAATTGGATCATGGCCTAAGTACCATGTCATGTTACGTAATTTTTACAATTATTTGATCAATAAGAAAGATAAGGTAAGGTGATTCACTATTAACTGAGAATCATAACAAGAGAAGGAACATTATAATTGTTAAATGATATTTTTCCCTAAATCTTAGTAGAAATGTCAATCTTTTCGTTGACGGTCCTCCTTGTGTTTAAGCATTATGTGTGCATACACATACTGACATACCTTTTCCCTATGATAGAGTTAAAGGTGAAAGCAAATGTAAATAATTATTATTAATTAAGAAATTAACTCAAACCCCAACATGTTGGGAATATACTGGGTATGTTGATGATGATTGATGATGAAGAAATTAACTCAAAAATAACTCGGGACAAATCCTGCCCAGCCTAAGGCCGACACTTTGGGATGAAACTTCCCGCCCAAGATTGCTTAAAGCCAACATTTTTATTCAACACAAGCTAATCCAATTTATCAAATACTAGTCTACTTAAATAGTCTTAACCTTGACCCTAATTATAACTTAATGGATATTCTAAGCAAA